CCAACATCATCACCACCAGCCGCATCACCATCATCAGCAGCAACATCATCGTCACCATCCTCAACATCAGGAGCATTACCAGCATGATATCCGACGCTCATTTTCCAAAGCACCCAAAAAGTGAAACTTGCGAACAGAACAAATGGGCTAAGGGCGGCCAGGAGCGCCGGAGCGCAACGGCATTGTCTCTGCCGCGTCGCCTCACAGACCCCCAAAGAAAGCTCTCAAGCTGTTCAGAAGCTGTTCGCAAGGGCGCGGGTGAAGAGCGAGAAAGCGTCAGGTCACTTCTACTATCATCACCGCGGTGCTCACATGGTCCCCGACGCGCGTTCCCCAAAGCACCCCATATGCGAAGCTCGCGAAGAAAAGCTGGCCAAAGGGCCGCCAGGGGCGTCGGGGCGCAGCGGCGTTGTCTCTGCCGCGCGGCCTGACTGAGCTCCAAAGACAGAGAACTCTCAACCTGTTCCAACCTTCCCGTCGGTGCCACCTCTTCGATATGCCTCTTCCTCCACAGGCGCATTGGTGAGACAGCCGCCCGCCGCCCCATGCATCCGCCCCCCGCGAATCGAACAAGCTGCTGGATATGGGCGAACGATAGGGCGGCCGCACCCATCTGGAGGCAGTGACACATTGATGTTGCATATATTGCATTATCCCAGCGCCCGCGGTTTCGCAGCAGTCCAGGGTTGAGAAACGAGCGGAAATGATGGACGGCCCCGCCTCGTCGCAGCGACGCGAGGGCGCAGGGCGAGTCGCCCATGAGGACGAGGCTCTCGAGGTAGATATCGGCCCGCGCGGCTGCCACGGGCGCGGCTCCGACGTCGGGGAGAGGAGCGCGAGCACGCCTGCGCTGACATCGCCTCCCAGGGCCCCGGGCAAGACGAAATGCAGCCCGAGGGCATTCGCGAGGTGGGCCGCAACAGCGGGTGGAGGGCGAGGAGCAGGCACGCTGCCGCCCTGCACCATCCCTGCGCCTGGACAGCCACGGCCAAGACCAGGGGCACTTCGACAGGCATGGGCGCGCGTATCTCGACTGGCTTGACATTGCGCGAACGAATATCTGAGTCAGCGCGTGCGGCTGCGCGATGGATTGCAAGTGTGTCTGCTAGTTCGTTCCATCGGTGGCCGTCGTGTCCGTGCATGTGGTGTAGTGTGATAGCGTTTTTGGCTTGGTTTAAAAAGGCTTGCGCAAGTATTGTGGTTGGGTCGCTGGAGTCTTGGATCTAGGTGCATTGCGTTGGCTCAGTCGGCATGGATTTGCTTGGCAATGTGAGGCGGTTGTTGCGCGGTATATATGGTTGCCCAAATGATGGCTGCTAGTTAAATGCTTGTGCTGTCGGGTCGAGTATAGTCGTTGTCGGCATGCGCGCTGCTGATGATGCTCCCTGAGTAATGTCCGATGTAGCTGGGCCGGTGCCCGTGGTAATCACATGCTGCGAAGGCCCATGCGGGGTTGTCTTCCTTCTGTTTGTAGGGCTCGGCCGGGGTAAAGGAGAAGGGTTGAGCTGGCGTGGAGTGGTTGTGAGTAGTGTGGGAGAGATCATTGCGCGACAGGGTGAAGCTCGATGTTGGCGAAGTATCGACGCAGTTGGATATGCGAGTTGAAGTCTGCAACCGATTGAAGCAAGGGTTTAAGAATAGGTTGTTGGAGGTGATGCACGCTGAGGCTGAATGTGAGGTATGACGCTGCTGGGTACTTCAATTTTTAGGTGGCGCGTCGCGTTCCTTCCACCTGGTGGGATGGGAGACGGTAAAGCTGGGTCAGCGTGGGTGAAACAGCGCACAAGGTGAGTCGAGTCGTGCTCTAGTTTTTGGCTGTGTTTGCGAATCTGGAAAACCTGGCATACTTTGGCTTGACCTGCCGCCGGTATCTCTGAGCACTCGTTGCGGTGCACTCCTTGGTGGCGAGTGCGATGCTTGTGGTTGGTCGTTGGTGGTGCCTCTGATGGTGACCTTTATTTGTATTGCATGCTCTGTCTCTTGTGTAGTTTGGTGTAGCGCTTCGTATTGTGCCGCTTTCGTGTTGCTGTGGGCCGTTGAAGTAACATGGTGCGACGCCTGCTGTCATGTCGTGTGTGAGTGCACTGTTTCTGCGCTCTGGTGTTCTGGTTGTGGTATAGCTGTGGGGTATACGTTGGCTGGTGTGGGTGGGGTAGGGATGTGCTATGGTGCTCTGGGGGTGCGTGGCTCTGTCGGTGTGATTGGTGCTTCCTGAGTTGAGTCGATGGTCTGTGGCGTTGCTGGTCGAGCTGTTGGGTCGCGCAGGTTGACGTCGATCTGCGTTGTTGGCTGGTCGGCGATCCCTGTGCTAGTCGTAACCGCTGTCTATGATGTCGCTTAAATATTACTGCAGTCGTTAAACTTCTTTTTCGATGTGAGGTTATTGTGAAAGCTGACGTTATCGGTCTTGTCGTTCTTCGTCGAGGACGGCTTGCTTGTAGTCCACCATTTGGTTGATGCGCATAAGTTATTACAGTTCGTCGTCGTGGTCGGGTACTGCTGGCAATTGGTCGGGTTGCTGCGCTTGTCGAGGTAGGTCATGCAACACGTATTGTCTGCGTTTGCGCAATTGCTCCGATTGTGCTTGTGCTTCTTCATATAGCTCCAGCTTGTACTGCAGACATCAGGCATCTCATGTAAGCTTCTGTGTCTTGTTGGTATTGGCCAGCTGGACTTCGTCGGCGTTGGTAATGTTTGTTGGCTGCGTGGAGGTGCTCTGCTGCGCTGTTGAATATGATGGTGGCTGTTTTTCTGTTTGGTAGTTGGCTAACATGCGTGTCTCGGTATGTCGTAACCTTTGTGCTGGTGTAGCTGCTTCTCGTGCCGCTAATACTTCCTGGTCGAATATGTATTGCGTTCCGGCCCTTTGCGATTCGTGCTCGACGTGTGGCTCCTGTTGTCTGTGGATGTGGTGTATGTGCCACCTCAGACTGTTAGCTTCGTAAGTGGGTACTTGTTCGAAGGATTGTAGTATTCGCCCGGTCGTGCCGATGTAAGGTCCTTGTCCGTGGGCAAGATATGCTTGTTGTGTCTGGTAGTGGAGGTGGAACTGCTGAACGGTTTGCTGCATTTGTTCCTCAGTCATTCGTCCAGCTTGGGCGATGGGTTCGGCGTGGCTGTTGTGGTCGGTAAGTCATCGTACTGCTAATTGTTGTTGGGCGTCCGTTGCTTCATGCGTGTGTCATTTGGACGGTGCTCGCTGGAATGCTCGCTGGAATGCTCGTCGATTGCTCGCAAGTCGCAGAGTGTTGTTTTTTGAGAGAGACTTGAGTCTCAGTGCGTCTGCGTGCTTATCGCCCGCCTGTGTCGTCATGTTGAGTTGGATGGCCTGTGCTCTGGGTGACGTCGCGTGGGCTGCGTGCGGGCAGGGCGCGTGCTTTGGTTGACAAGATCATGTTCTGTGGTGGTGCAAGTCTTCGTAAATTGGACGTTGTCGTCGTGCCGTTGCTGTGCTTGCTTCAGCTTGGCTTCGGAGATCCTGATGCAAGCCGCGTAGTCGTCTTTGAGCTGGCGCATGTAGTGTAGTCGTTCGTGCTGTGGTTGTTGGTCAAGGACTTGTCTCTTGCTGACTGATAGGTCGTGACGTCGGTGGTCTGCTTTTGTCCCGTTTTTCCGACCGCTGGAATATGCGATGCCAGCTTCCTGATGCTAGCTGTCTTGGATGTGGTCCATGCTCCCAGTTCCAAGGGTGTACCAGCTGGTCTGACTTCTTGCTGAGCGTTGTGGTGGTATGCTTCGGGCATTCTGTCTATGAGAGTCTTCGTCTCTCTGTCGACGTATGCCGCGTGATCGGCATTGTCGCCGAAGCTTGGGTGTGGTGCCTGGTCGTTGTGTCGGTTGTGAGTTTTGTCTTGGTCCTGTTGGGCCCTCTGTCTGGGAGTGGTCGCTCGTCGTTGGCTATAGTTGTTTGGGGGTTGGGTCCATGTAATTGTCTCTGGCCATGTGCAGTACTGCATGTTCCGTCGCTGTTGGGTGTGGGTCGTTTGGGGTTGGTGGTATGTCGTCGCTGGTTGTGTGTGGTTGGTGTCTCCCATTTGGCCCATGGGTTGCCACGTAGCGCCCTTTCCTTTGGCATAATGTTTCTGGTGCTGCTGCTTCCCGCTGCCTTTGTCTTTGGCCTGATTTCTTGGCGCTTGGCCGTGCATGTCTGTGGTCGTGTGTCGTGGTGGTTGTTGTTGTTGTGCACTGCGATGCTGATTGAGTAGGTATTACGCAGCTTGTAACTGTTCGTGTGTGGATTGGTCTAGTAGTGCTCTGGCTGAGGCTACTCTTAGTAGCGTACGAGCTGCTGCTCTATTTTCCCTTTCCCTGCGACGCCAAGCCGGGTTGGGAGATGTGGTCGGAATGGTTTTCGTCGGCCTGTGCTCGTATGTAGTCATGGTCGAAGCCTCGAATCGACTGTGCGACAGTTTGCATTTAACGCAGGAGATAAAATAGAATATCCAAGATGTAATGAGTGAAGATGGGTGTGTAAATGTGAAAATGGCTGAGGATGTAAGAGATATTGGATCAAGGGTAAGTTTCGTTCGTGGCTGGCACCCTAGGGCTGGCGCACTGCCATGGGCTCCCTGGGCCACAGGCTTCCTCACCCTCCTCATCCAGCTTCTCCTGCTGCACCAGTTCCTCCTCCTCCTCCTCCTCCTCCTCCTCCTCCTCCTCCTCGGGCGGGGAGGGGTCCTTGCGAAGGCACGGGACCTTGTCGGTCCGCCTAGCCTCAGGCGGCCCACCCCCGTGGCGCGCGATCCGCCACCGCCGCCCTCCCCTACACGTCCTAACCCCCCCTGCCTGACCAGCCCTGACTCTATCCTCCTCGCCGCCGCCACCCCACTAAAAGAAGAACAACCGGCGCGGACTCCTTGGATCGGCGCTGACCCCCCCGAACCCTGGCGCGGAGCCCGCCCTCCCTCGCCTCCGCTCCCGCCTCTCCCTCGGTGCACGATGCACGCTGAGCGCCCCGAGGCCCCACGGTGCACAGCCACGAGCGAGCATCTGGGGTTCAC